CTAAATAGTTATCTGGATCTAATTCTCAATGTTCCTTCACTTAACACCTCATCCTATTTTAAACTGCACTATCCTGTAATATCTTTTCTTCCGATTACTATCAACTGCACTAGTAAAATAACTAAATCCCTAGGTAGCTGTTGGCTAAACAAACGTTTAAAATCAAAACTCCGTAGCCTACTAGAATTAACACTAAACGAATCTTTCTGAATTAAAATTTATAATTAAATTAGGCGTCTCGGATTTTTTAACGTTACAAATTTCTGATGATTTCGAATCACCTAAAGCAACAATACCTATTTTTCCACTGACTAATGCTCATCAACACCATGACCATTTAAACATAATAGTTTCAGGATATCGTCATAAAGCATTGTCATGACTTGACAATCACGTAATATGATTGATAAAATTAATGAAACTTTTAACAAAATAGGTCAGCAAATTGACTTATGATTATAACTAGTGTTGTTCTTCTTCATTCACTACAGATGATTACAGTATGTTTCTCTATCAGTTGCTCATTCAGTAAATATCTCAAAACCTTGTCAGTCTAATTGATGGTTTAGCGACACAATCATGCATGCAAATAATCAGTATAAGCAATCGAGCAAATCTCCTGCAAACTGAAAACATCAATGTCGAATTTACCCCAACACTGACTAAGGTTCAAGCTATTATCATAGGCATGAGTTGGGAGTGTACTCCTCTTGGTTACAACTTATGTTCTCCCTGATAATCACATGAGCATCACTCACTATTAATCATCTTGTAAAAAATTATTTAGCCAAATACACCTTGCAGCACCACATCACTTAGTAATATGACACATAGGTTTAACTAATTTCAATAACGTATAACCACTATATCTCAATTAAATCGTATTCCGCCTTATGATAAACTGCATACTTTCAACTAACTTGTATACCCAACCAGCCGGCAAGTATAGATACAAATAAATAGTCTGCCGCAGATCAGAACATTGAGTCTAGAGCATGTCTCTTACGAATATACTCATGTTTAACGATTTGTTTCTAGCTATCTGTCCAAAATTCACATAATTATCACTCACGTATTTGAATTTTGTTTTGATAACCATTCATGTGTATTAGTAGTATTACTAAATTCTATCACGGTCAGGTAAACATGGGGTTGATAAAATCTCCCCGTAACTAAATAAACCGTATCAAACTAACTGGAACACTAGTTGGAATTCTTCTCCACGGTAATACTTTTGTTCCTTCAGTTAGCCTACTAATACAGATGCAATTGGAAATCGACTCATATGGACAACTTACCGGCATAATCATTATTTGATTTCATAAGTTAGACTAAAAGTAGTACTAATATTAACATTTCTACAATATTCATAACTTTAATATTTCTAAACACAAAATACTTACTACCTATACGTTAAGTTATCAACCAACGGCTATTAACACGCATCGTTTTATTATTACTATTATTATTATTGTATTCCCATTTTTTATAGCTCAAATAATCACTCAAATTTTCATTGTAAGCGTGTTAAGCATGAAGGCAGATATTTTAAAATTATTGCATGTATTTTCCGACCAGATGCTGCCGTCTTCTTTTTGATTTATCTTTCAGCTTGTCATCACCCGGAGGATTCTTACTAGTCTTGGTAACCTTCGGCACACTACAGTCCCATCCAATTGGGTATCGAACCAACACCACGTTGATTCTGGTGGAAGAGTAGTGTAGTGGCACTGGACCATAACCACACTATCCTCAAAGCTGAATACGAGATTACTCGGAAAATAGGTATTCAATATTTAACGCGAAGAAATACCTAACGATGGAGAAGGCGCGAATAATGAACTGAATGAATTAGAGTTGATCAAATGGCATGGCTTGGCCATGCAGGCGTGGTCTCTGCTCAATGTTACCTTATATCTTTTATTCATATTAAATATATTGTTCTTTCTCTAGCCTAACCTTGTTCTGCATCATGTATTGGTAATTGATACGATACAGTGAGTTGGTGTAGTCGATGGTGTGACTTCCACGTAAGATCTTATAGATTAGGCAGTCATATCATGACAAATCTACAAATTTAGGATTAGGTCTATTATTAGAGCAGTACTAATATCATAGTAGACTATAATTCTACATGCTCATTAGTATTGGAATTAACAAACGAAATCGGAACACACTAACCTGAAATTGTATACAGTCAGCAAGTCAGTTTTGTACCGAAATCATTAATATCTAGAATTGGAACCATATGTTTTTCAACACTCTCCTTCCCCGCGAAATAATGTTTGATCTTTATATCCCCAAGTTTTGAATAATGTGACTTCATTTAGAACATATTTCTTACATTGACTAGAGTATACATTGGAACTGGATTTGTGATAAGGATGAACAGCAGGTGGTATGAAATCATCCAAATTGTAATCAAAATTGAGCTCACTTAATACTCGTGCTTCGTATTGAACAGATTTTTCACAAGGATCAAATGCATTATAAGGATAGGTAATACATGATATAACATAAGGATTTGATTCTTCTGAAATATTCTCATGAAATTCATTAGGAAGGCCATTGCAAAGTAATGGATCATTAGAAAAAGTAGCATCTATCAAAACTACATCAGGTTTTCGATCATAATTATGTTCAGTCAACATATTTTCTTCAGATTTGCAAGGAATTTCATCGGAAATATGTGAATCATTAGGAAAAACCATACCTGGTACAATAGCATGAGAATTCTGATAAATCGATTAGTGAGAAACTGTTGTTTCGCAAGAATTCTGAATTTGATTTAACTCTGAACTGCTTTGTGACTCTACACTGTCTATTGCAATAGTTGATAAAGATAAATCATCATTATAAATACTCGACTCAGTAGAATCAGGATTACAAGACTGAATATTAGTTGCAATAACATGAACATTAGTATTATAGACTGACTGAATATATCCAATATCATCACATTTAAAGCATTGAGAATTACGAAATTTACATGAATTAAAAGCATGGAACTTGCCACAGGACAAACATTGACCAAACTTGCGCCAATCTTCGTGAAACGCACTGCAACTCCTCAATGAATTATCTGCAAAACCTCGAGTATGCACTGGATTGGGATGACGTGATGTAGTAGAATTTTTGATGTCCTGATGAATTATTTTAGGAAATTTCCCTTCTTTACTACAATCAAAATTTGCATACTTGACATAGTCTAGTAGTAATTCCTTGAGAGTTGTATAAGGAAGCGAAATGGGCTTTTCCGGCATAGCCAGAATTCTTAACAAGCTGTATGCTTCTTTACCGATGAATGTGAGGATGTAGTGGCATTAGACCATAACCTCACAATCTTCAAAGCTGAATACAAGACTACTCAGAAAATGGATATTCAATATTTAACACGGAGAAATACCTAAGAATGGAGAAGGCGCGAACAATGAATTGAATGAATTAGAGCTGATCGAATGGCATGGCTCGGCCATGCAGGCGTGGTCCCTGCTGAATATTACCTTATATCTTTTATTCATACTAAATATATTGTTCTTCTCTAGCCTAAGCTCGTTCTTCATCACGTATTGGTAGTTGTTACGATACAGCGAGTCGCTGTAGACGATGACGTGACTTCCACGTAAGATCTTATAGATTAGGCAGTCATATCATGACAAATCTACAAATTTAGGATTAGGTCTATTATTAGAGCAGTACTAATATCATAGTAGACCATAATTCTACAAGGAAATATGCCACAATATTAGCATCCTCATCATCTTCTTTGGTCATGACCCAAATTTTGAACCTTTCGAAATAATCCTCAAAAGCTTCAGAAGTTGAACGAATGTCTAACTTTTCCATTGCAGGCTCAATCGCGACGCCAGTATAATGTTTCGAATTATTTGAATTATAGCACTAGCTAAGAGTCCCAAAAATAACGCAATTGAATTCAGAAGTCACGAGCGTAAACGAATGTACTGTATTTGGAATTCAAAATTGTGCAATCAGCATGTACAAAAGTATCATTAGTCAATTCAAACACCACACAGTTGTCCGTGCCTTCATCGAACGATGGGTAGCAAACTTCGGCTGCCCTCCAACTATCACTACAGACCGCGGATGTCAGTTCGAATCTGGACTTTTCCGTCGTTTGACCACACTTTTATGAATCACTCGCTTCCGAACAACTGCCTACCACCCACAAGCAAACGGGTTGGTAGAACGTTTTCACCGACAACTAAAAGCTTCACTATCAGCTGCAAACGTTTCACAGTGGATCAACGCTTTTCCAATCGGCATTCGTTATGCAATGAAAGCTGACATTGGATACTCTGTAGCTCAACTGGTTTATGGAACGATACTTCGACTTCCAGGTGAATTCGTGGATCCTTCATCCTCTTCTATGAACATGGATCTAACCTCCTGCACGAACAGGCTTACAAACGCAATGCGCTGAGTTAAACCTGCTTTCAATCGACCTCAGTCAACTAATATTTTCGTTCAACCTGACTTACGATATCGTACATCCGTCTTCGTACGTCGAGACTCGCATCGACGACCTTTCGAATCAGCATAAGAAGGACCTTTCAAAGTTCTTCAACGCAAAACTAAGTACTATATAATCGATAAGAACGGAACCAACGATAGTATCAGCATCGATCGCCTCAAAGATGCGTATTTAGAAGGAAATCCTATCTACGTCGATTTTCTTCCGGTACAATCGAAAGACACGACTCCGACACTTATAATACCTCATCCAACAGCCAACACGCACGATGATGCTTCGACAGTATCTGAAAATTAACTTAGAACCACGTATTCTGGAAGACGATTAAGATTTCCAGAACATTTAAACGACTATTGCACGTAAGACACTAGTTAACATTTTACTTCATCTCGATTTTCCATGGTATTGTATATAATATAAAAAAATCAGTTTTCATATGTTTATATATATATATATATTTATTTTTTTGCTAATATGTATATTAATGAAATATGAAATACTGAAGACTGAGGACTGAATGTCACATGGTTTAAGACAGTGCGTTACTACGCATGACTTTGAGTATTTCTTCAAGAAATATGAGTTTATGGTCTTCGCTGGAAGAAGCATATGATAATTTAGATCTTTCAGAAAGTGATGGAGAATGTAACAACTCCACCAAGTTATATATGCAAAAATTTCAAAGCAAAGTCGATTTTTCAATGAAAAATGAAAGGAAGTTAAAAGATAAAAGTGACAAGGCAACGACTGATCATGCTCTAGACAGAAGATCGTGCTCCATACTATTCAAAATGATGAATCAAGAAATATTTAGTGAAGTCAATGGGTGCATTAGTACAGGTAAGTCTCTTGTCTATAGCAGTTAGTCTAGGAGGTCTATCGACTTATATTAATCCTTACAGTTTGTAACACTTTGGCGCTCCGATCTCGTTTTGAATATGTCAACAGAAGGTGCTTATCTCCCGTGTTCTGGTAGATAATTACGGTAACTCACTACTCAGTCTTCAGTAATAAGGATAGGAGGTCTGTCGACCTATATTAATCCTTGCAGTTTGTAATACAGTGGAGGTCCAATCTCGTTTTGAATATATTAACAGATGGTGCTGATATTACGTGTTCCGGTAGAGAATTCCAGTAATTCACTACTCGGTGCGAGAAACGGAACTCCAGACGTAAACGGTTTGATCTCGGTTTTTGAACTTTCTTCGAATGTCCTCTCAAATGATCGGTTCTAGACGGGAGCAAAAGATAAGACATGTTAATACCAAGGTCATCGTTCAGTATACGATAGGCCAATATTAGATCACCCCTTATTCTACGGTAAGATAACGGAAATAAGTTAAGGTGTCTCAGTCTGTCTTCATAAGATAGGCCAGATAGACCTTGTACCATCTTAGTAGCTAGTCGTTGGACTCTTTCTAGCATATCTGCTTCATATTTGAAACAAGGACACGCTGCTTGAATCCCGTATTCTAAATGTGGTCGCACATAAATCGGGTATAGTAATCTAAACATTTCATCATCTAAATACTGGAAAGACCTACGAATTGACCATAATACCCTATAGCCTTTCGCAGCAGCAGCCTTACAGTGACCAGTCGTTTTGAGATCATTGCTTAATATGACTCCTAAATCCTTATAGTTTCTTACTTTGGGTAGCACGAATCCACGTAGCGTATAGTCATACGATTCATCAGAGTTATTTAACTGCATCACTACACTCTTATTAGGATTTACTTCTAGTGACCACCTATCTAACCATGCCACCAATGAGCTAAGATCGTCCTGTAATACTATCCTATCCGACATACTATGTATGGGTCTCCAAATCTTTATGTCATCAGCGAAGAGTAGAACGGATGATTTTGCTACAGTTGGCAATTCATTTACATAAAGTAAAAAGAGAAGAGGACCCAGGATTGTACCTTGGGGAACCCCACTCGGTGTGAAAAATGAAAATCCAAACGTAGATGATTTGATCTAGGTTTTTGAACTTAAATGATCTGTCCTAGATGAAAGGAAAAGACAACTCATTGATGCTAGTTGGCATTAATTTAAGGTAATCGTTCGGTATACGACAAACCAATATTGAATCACCCAGTAATCTGCAGTAAGATAATAGAAATAAGTTTGGATGTCTCAGTCTGTCTTCATGAGATAGATCTGTGAGACTATAGTTTATAAACGACCTCGAGAATGTCCATCTACAAATTACGGTTAATTGAGGGTTATAAACTAGTGTGGAGAGTTAAGATTAATATTCACAGTTGATAGTGAGGGTTAGGAACTGGATATAGGGTTTTCATCACGAACTGGCATCAACTATAGTGCCGAAATTCTATCTAGACAAATAAACGGATCAATTTTGCGCCAAAATTCAAGATCTGTCATCGTAAATCTTATTGGCTCGTCCATAAATTATACTCTCGCCCATTAATTCTTCCGATTTCTGAAAGACTTACGAATAGCACATAATACTTTAAAGCCATCGACAGCAGCAGCCTTAGTTATTCGTAGTTTTGAGGCCTCTGCTTAAAATGACTTCTAGGTCTTTATAGTCCATTACTTTGGGTAATACAAATCTACGTATTGTGTAGTGATACGAATCGTCATCGTTATTTAATTGCATCACCACACCCTTGTTAGAGTTTACCAGGAATCATTTTTATTTCGGCTGGATATGTAGTGGCAAATAATTTTACCTAAAGCTCCTTGTGGACAAGAACACGAATCAGGACACAAACTGCTGGTTTATTTTATTCCTATTTTCCACACTTTCGATTTTGCTGATAAATCGTTTTGTAACATGTAAGTATAGAATTTGAAATACTATTTAGAAAAGTATGTCATTTTGGTCAGACTCAAATTATTAAATTTGTTTCTTTGTGTGTTGTGTGATATCTACTGATTATTCACTCATACTTATTCAGGTAGATTATTTGTTCGTCGCATCTGTGGTGTGCAAATAGTCAAGACAAATAGTGTTCCGTTGACGTGAGGTTTTACTACAGTATAGTGATATCTCATATGTTACGTAGGAAAATATCATATTAGTTCGTCAAGGTTTTTTCAGTTATCAATTAGTATTAAGCGGATGTTGAATAAATTACTTGGGAGTGTATGGTTATGAAAGTTGGTAATTTGTGTTGCCTTGTTGCATTGATACTATTTGCTTCACCCAATTGTGTTATTAAAATCCAATAACAGTGGTGTTTTAAACAAAGTAGTGCAAATGGAAATAGCAAATTCGTGATACACTGTGAAATAGCTTCCTGGATATTACAGTGAGCATATTTACTACTCGAGGACTTTTCGGCAACATAAATGCGGGATAAGGCAAAGACATTAGAAGAGAAAATATATATTAGGCGTTTTAAAGATTTGGTCTCATTCCTTCTTTGTTGTGACCCATGGTTTATCACACCTTCAATCAAGCTCACATATAAGGTCCCAGCCTGTTTGATTGCACAGCTGACAATTGTTACCCTAATTGTTAGTTCCGATTTGTGAAACTCTTTGGTTTTGATGAGCGTTCAGTTTATCAACTGCCACCACTTTCATAGATACCTGTGATTTGACCTAAATTTTTTTCATTAGCGTGCAAATCAGAAGACTGCACTGTTTTATCATATAGCTGATACACAGCCTCTTGATAGACAAGAGGACAGAAAGGCTACATATATTTTTCCACATTTGCTCAAACTTTCTAGTGAGGCATTCTTAGTTTATATAGCTTTAAGCTGGGTACATAAATCGGCCGGTGAATTAATGATATCGTTACACCTTTCCCGTCGTTCACTACATACTACAAAGCCTTTCCACTTTTATCTCACCAAGTGTTTAGTTATTATTTCTTATTTTTTTGATATTTTCAGGGAAAGAAGCAAACATATATCATGTAAAAAATAAAGAGAATGTGGATTTCGCTATCAAAGTTTATATGACATCAATAATGCCATTTAAATCTCGCGATAAATACGTAAAGGGTGATTTTAGAATGCGTCATGGTTACTCAAAGTCAACATCTTGGAAGCTTGTATGTAAATGGAGTGAAAAAGAATATCGTAATTTACTCCGAATAAATCAATCGGGTTTAATAAGTGCCCCCAAACCTCTACGTTTGAAAGGCGTTGTTCTGTTGATGACCTTTGTTGGGAAGGATGGTATTCCCGCTCCAAAGTTAAAGGATGTTTGTTTTCAGGAAAGCGATTGCAAAGATTCCCCCGATTGGGCTGCCTTGTACTTTCAAGTTGTCCATGATATACGAACTTTGTTTCAAAAGTGCCGCTTAGTCCACGCCGACCTAAGCGAATACAACTTACTATATCTTGATGGAAGAGTTTGGATGATTGATGTTTCCCAGGTAGGTATTCACTACTAACTGACTAGTGAGATTTTGTATTACAGTGTTCGTAGGTTTTAAATTCTGTTACTTTTGAAACTATCTAGTATTCTAGAGATTATTCGAAATACGGAAGCAATATCGCCAAACACTAAACGAATCTTTCATTTCTGCAGACTACCTGGTTGTGGTCCGTGATTACTGTAACCAGTGATAAGAGACTAACGGTGACATGTAGGTATCATTACCAAGGTTTGATTTGATAATTTCGGATAAATTGAGCATTGGGTAGATTGTTATAAACAAATACTATATTTGTGATATCCCAATGGGTAGAAAAAGTAGATTTTCATAATTTGGTTATTTATTCTCTGAAGAAGTGACTTACACTGAGTCACGAAACGTCAGAAAATCTAATTTTTCTACTCATTAGGATATTACAAATATGTTATTTATTTATAAGGGTGACATGGTTCAGAATACTTTTTAGTAGCGAAGGTGCACTTTCTGAATTTATCACTAATTTAATCCCACTAATCTACATTTTCTCGAATTGTATCTCTGATGCCCAATCTTTTCTATTAGCGCTAGTATTGTTACTATTTCTACTACTATGGGATTCGTCGTGCTAATGGGGTTTGTCGAATTGAACCTATGTAACACATATTACAGGTTTTGCGTTCCATTTCACTGACTGACTGTTGATGGCCTTCGCCATCTAGTCATCAGTACTATTAAAAATAGTAATTTCAAAGCAAGTAAACTGACCATCCTGTCCATCTTTTGAGTTATGTACTAAGAAGTTACTAACCCATCAAATCAATTTCTAAAGGCTTCACTCTGTGATTTTGCCAGAGTAATGTTGTGTATTTGTAGCCTCAACAACTATGCTTTTTAACTGTATGGGGAAATGAAGCAGACTACAAATGTCTTCCCTAAGTTAGTATTTTAGCAATATCGTCCTAGCTCTATGACCCGATTTCGTCACTTTCTAATCTACCAAGACCGGTGTATTAATGAGTTAAGTAGGCGTTGTATTCTCAACATTAAGTATAAAAACTAGCAGATACAAATATGTCCGAATATCAAAGAATGAAAAAAACATGTCTAAATATTTTCACATAATCATGTGGTGATTTTTCTATTTCATTACACGTTAACTTGCTTCAGTTAGCTACAGATTAAGACTAAAATACTCCATGAAGAAATTAGAAAACTAATTACTCCTATCCACATTCTTGCAGTGTCAGTTTCGTTTTGGTATATTACCTAGGAGCTTAAGGATCTCAGTCAATCATATGCGACTTAGAACCTGACATGTACATACGGTCAGTTTGCAATACTACATCGCCACAAGGACGAATTATTCCAGAACAATAAATCGAATGATTTATGTGACGCATATCTATTTGGTGCCTCCTTGTACCAATGTTTATGTGTTTAAATAAATAAAGACAGATCTTAACCAGGTAGTTTATACCAATTGGTGTAGCTCAACCCAGTTATCAGTGACTTTATGGACTAATGCCACGTTTTGGTTTAGCTTTCTCTCCAACCTACCAATACACCGGACAACAACGCTCATCGATGGGTGATAGCTGCGTCTATATAGTGTCTCAACCACATCAGCTAATGAAGATTCATCAACTTATCAGTCGATTTACCATGTTTAATTAATACTTGCCCTTAAATGATCTGGTACGGCCGAGGGTGGGGAGAGTCAGCTCTCCCTCTTGAAATGCTCTCACATGGCCACGCGTATATAGCCACTACCAGTCCTACTTACTGTCTTCTCGTGGCGGGCGTATTCTTTGAGATATTAAGAGGACGAAAAGCGAACGTCCGACTCTTTAACCGGGTTGGTGGATATGGAAGATTCACCTGGGGGAGTTGGAAAACACCAATCGTACACATGGGCTCCAGGATGCCGAAGGAGCAAACAGCGTATGAACTTATTATTGGTCACCGGCCACTATGGGACTGCATCTCCTAACGTTTCTCCACCGCCTTGTGGATCAGACCTTTAGATCGAAAGCTTAGGGTGTGACTTCCTAATAAAACCACCTGTTTCGTTCTGGGCATCCGGGCAGTACCACAGTCCATATACAAATCAAATGACTTGTGTGGTGCATATGTATTCGGTTCCCCTTTGTACCAATATTTATGTGTTCAAATAAATAAATAATAATTAATACCTTAGCTTAACTTGTGGACCCGTTACAGATGCCCTTCTGTTCCAAGTTGTCACACTTCACAACGCAACAAGAGAAAACGAACGAAAAAGAGTTGTAGTAATCATGTTGGTGGGGGTGAAAATCCAAGTAAAAAACATTGTTCAACTAAAATAAAATTATTACAAACTGAAGGATATTTTTTATCTTCCTAATTTTCACGTTCATCGTTGATTATCCACCTGCTAACAGACAAGCGAATTGCGGTTATACGATTTTGGTCGGATATACTATATATATATATATATATATATATATATTGCCCGCTCTCTCTATTTTTATATGACTTTGTCATTAACATTGTCTTAGAGTTGACGCCCTCATTCTCTGATTTTTCATGAATTGATTTCCTACCAGGAAATTCACTTGTTGATTCAGGATACGCTGATAACAATTTTAGTTGATAAAGACGCTGATAAGGTGCAAAGGCTGTCAATCCACTTGAGAAATAATACAAGAAAGGTTGGAATGTGTTTCCCTCCGTCTGAATGCAAAATTTGACTAAAAGAGTAAATGGGGAAATTTGTATATAAATGCGAAATGTTGCTGGTCTGTGTTAACCTCTTGAACTAAAAGTAGAGTGAAGTAGTTGGGTGCATCGAGCACTCTACTTATCCCCCAACAGATTTATTATTTATTTGTCTATTTGGACACATAAATATTGGTAAAGAGGGCACCAAATATATATGCCCCACACAAAACAATGAGAATTCGAAGAGAAGAGAAAGAAAGTAAGGAGTGTAAAAAAAGAACAATAATGAGCAGATTAGTGTGAGGCAGTGTAATAATAATAATAATGGGGGAGACGGAAAGGTACAATCAGAAGGAATCTTTCAGTTAAGGAAGAAACAACCACATTTTATGAAGTAAAAGAAGGTACAGCAGAATCTCCACTGGCTTCTATTCTGAGCCATATCTGATAACGTCACTAGCCACTGTGTTGCACCATCTTTCGGACCCCAACACAAGCCAGCCCTTTGCATATTTCTTTCATGCCACGACACCATGTCATACACTGACCACCTCTCTGCTTTTTCCAACCAGTCCCAGAGTCGACAAATAATGCACGACGTGGAATTCTCTGGGACGACATCCGTAGAACATGTCCAAGCCACCGAAGTCGGTGTTTCGAGATGGTGACACCAATTAGATTACCGTCTCTGTGCCCGAACACACGGTGCCGAACCACTGCATTACTAACATGTTGCCACTGGATGTCAGCAATCCTTCGGAGACAGCGATGACCGGACACAGAGAGCCGTCTAACATCCTCAACTCGGAGAGGCCAGGTTTCCCAAGCATAGAGCAAAACTGCTCTTACCGACGCGTTGTAGATCCGACCTTTTACAGCCAAACTGGTGCACGTAGCTTCAGAAAAACTGCTTCAGTATTCGTATTTGGTGGTAGCATACAACTTTCAACCAGGCAGTGACTCGAGAACGTTTAGATAGAACCGAATTTCCACCATAGGCGATCTGCTGTATAAGTCGGAAAATAAGAATACACAGCGTGGAAATAAAAGAGAGTGAATGACGTAAAAAATAAATAATAATGGTAATAATGTGAATCGTTGGATTGTTAATCGAAGAAAAACAAGTATTTTCCATAAATCTCGACATTTCATCATATTTGTATGTGGGCTGTGATAGTGCCCGGGTGCCCAGACCGGAGCAAGTGGTTTTCTTAGGGGGCCACACCACAAACCTTTGACCTAAAGGTCTGACCCACAAGGCAGTGAAGCATCGTGAGGAGGTACAGTTCCATGGTAGCCGGTGACCAACGCCTGGTTCACACGCCATTTGTTCACGCAGGACACTGGAGTCCATGTGAACCATTGGTTTGGAATCCGGTTAAAGCACCGGACATTCGCCTTTCGTCCTCCCATTTTCATAAACAACACGCTTGCCGCGAAAAGGCAGTGGTTAGGACTTCCCTAGCAGAGGCTGTATACGCGTGGCCGTGTGAGCGTTCCGAGAGGGAGGGCGGGCCCACCCCACTCTCGGCCATACCAGGGCCTAATTACTTGGTGTCTGACCAGGTTTCTGCACGAATTCATACGGCTCGGTTGACTTTTCCAACTTACGTCACTTGTCGGGTTGGCGATTGTCTGCCTACCAACTGGAGGACAAGTATACTGCACAGCGATTCACTATGGTTTGCTCTGTGAGTGCGAAAGTCGGTCTTTAAAAATAGCAGATACTTCCAAGTCATTAGTATTTGATCATAGATGCCTTTAAAACATGGTTCATGTATGTTGGGATCACCAAGTGAGGAATGCTGCAGCCAAGCTCAAGGTATCAATTAAAGGTGATCAGTCAATTGGTGAGGCAACAAATCTTCATCTACTGAGGTGGTTAGGATATGTATTATATATGCTCGACCACCACATACCTCAATGCTAAAGTAGGAGTGGGTTGGAAGAGTTAGCGGTAATTAAACCACGATGGTTTCAGTCCATGAAGTTAGTGTCTTTTAATCTAAGGCGATTTTAGTAAACACACATTACTTGGTTTGGTTCCGAACGACAACTGTGATCAGTGACATGGGCCAAAATTGTTTGCATTAGCGCAAGCGTATTCATTCTTTCTTCCTTTAGGACTTAATTTTCCTAATCATGTTTTTAGATTTTGTTTAATTACACGAATTATTATCCTTTCTCAAGCCACTTCTGTCTAGTCATTTCTACTACCGCTAATAATGTTACTTGTACTGCTCCAACATACTGCTGTGCTAATTTGTTGTAGCACCTTTAACCGACCCATATATGTGCCAAATTCTACACTAATTATGAGTGACTGAGTTGTTTAAGTATCTTACCAAATCAGTTGAATTGTCATAATATTCATGAAAAAATCTAGACAGAGACAACGAACGAATATATACATTCCCCAGTACAACTAAGTTCATTTTATGCTACTTGAAGCCCACTGATCTACAGTCTTTCACCTTTCAAGGTAAATAACGTCCGTTTTCAGTTGAAATATGCAAACATCTTTAGAGTAAAAGTTGTTTATATCTTTCACTAGTAAACTTCATTTACTTTTTATAGGCTGTGGAACATGAATCGCCTCAAGCTCTTGAATATTTAAGAACTGATTGCCACAATATAAATATATTTTTTCGCAAACAAGGTGTCTCAACTTTAACATTACGAGAACTTTTCGAATGGGTAGTGAATCCCTCATTGCCTGCACCCGATGATGCATCATCTAAAGAGTGTTTAATGTCTTTACTTCGAGAAGCTTCAATTCGTGGATTAAATGAAACAATTGAAAAAGAGGATGAAGCTTTCCGATATGTACATATCCCTCGAAATTTATCAGTATCTTATCCATTTGTGAGAGATTTTCTTAAAATACAACGTGGACAATTGTCACATTCTGATATTTACTATGCAGCTATAACTGGACTGAAACCAGATTTAACAGGCATTTTAACACAACCTCAAGTGATCAAAGAAAACAATGAATGTGAATCAGACAATGAATCAATTACAGACAAAGCTTCAATCACTTCAGAAATTTCTTTTGAATCTATTAACGAAGATGTAATTAAAGCAAAGAATAATGCACGACCTCGAAATGAATCTCCAGAAAGTCGTAGGAATAGAAAAAAAGCAATCAAACAAGAACAAGCTGAAAAGCGAAAACATAAAATTCCTAAGTATGTTAAAAGACGTAAAATAAAAAAGTAAAAATTTTGAAATTGATTAGTGTTTTGCTGACGGATAGTTGTTAGATTATAAATGTTAATATCAAAATAATTGTATTGCACCGTAGTGAAAACGTTCTGTCTAAACTAACTAAACAACTTAAATAACGACACGTCTAATAATTAGCCCCTTTTATAAACTTTGATAGAACAATGAGAAGACGGAGTTTATCTGAAAAATGTGATGTATTTGCGCTATACATTTCGAACAATCTGGTCACACATATACTTATCAAGGCATTTTTATATGAAAATTAATAAACTGGGTTTAATAATTTTAATAACCATTTAGCTAACTCATGTGTGGGGGAACCGCGCATAGACAAAATTGATCGTAATGGAATATTAAGTTTATGAATTTTAGGTAATCCATATAAATTCGGGGAAACTGAACCCGAAGGTTTTAGTATATTAAACTCCTCATTGTTTATGACGCTCATCCCGTTACCATTTTTGAGAGAATTACTCTTATTATGTACTGCTAATGTTCAATTCCCGTTTGGTGGTGAATATTTTCAACAACTTGATGGTGCAGCCCTTTGGAGCCTCTCTTAGCCGATGTTTTCATGTCATATGTGGAAAACATGACGAGCGAGCTTATTAATGAGGCAACTCTATATAGAAGATACATGGACGATATTCTTATTATATGTTATAAGGATTTTGTTGGTTACCGACTATTGGATAAACTCAATGGTGTTCAAGATGATATTGTGATGACATATGACTCAGAAAGTAATGGTAAATTGGCCTTTTTAGATATACTTTTAAGTCGAAGGGATGATGGCACTATTAGACGGTCAATGTACAGGAAACCAACCTGGATGGGACAATATTTAAATTTCCATAGTTTTTGTCCATTGTAATACAAGCGAGGCTTGGTTAAGTGTCTCTTTAAGAGGACTGAAAGAGTTTGTACTTCTGACACGTTGGAAAAAGGTGAGAAGATACTGACTGACACATTAATAGCAAATGGTTATCCACTTAAGTTTATTAATACGGTGCAAAAGTCAGTTAATGCCGAAAACCTCTTGTTTATTTAGCTCCAAAGAAAAAAGTTTATATCAATTTACCATATAGAAGCAAATCCAACAGCATAGTTTTCAGACAGAGATTGAAAGCAGCCATCGAGAATACCTATTATGCTGCTCAGTTGGTTGTGATTGAAAAGTCTAAGCCCATGATTCCTAATAGACCCAAACAATTCGCTAATGATTACGTCACATCCCATTGTATTTACCAATTTACATGTTTGTGTGGATGTTAGGGTATTCGGAAAAATATACCAATAGTTATCATGTCAAGTCTAATGGTGTCCTTGGACTTTAAATGGACATTTCCTATTGTTTATTTCACTTGTTAAATATTGTACGAATGTTTTCTATTTTATGGTACGATGTTGTTTGTTTGATTGGTATATAGACAGAGTATGTCTGAAATATAACGATTTATATCTCAGAGGCTGAGACTTGCGTTCTGGACTCAACTGGCTGGGCTAGACAGGGAAGCAGACCAATCGGAGCCCTAGGTCGTTCTTGCGTGTCTTTTGATCGACCGGTAACTCGCTAACCTCCAATCTGCAGCCACACACGTTACAACAATGGACACACATACATAGGGAGGAGTAATCGAACAATGCAATCAAGGGTCAATGAACATGTGCCTAGATGGCTTCAAAATCAATGTGGTTGGTAGAAAAGCAGGTTCATCGATGGCGAAACATATAATTGAAACGGGGCACAAAATTGACATTAATACAGCTTTTAGAACGTTGTATAGAAATTATCAAGGACGAATCCTTAAGTTTATTAAAACCTTTGCTATTCGTAAATTTAAAGCCCCCTTATGTGTACAAAGACAATTTATCGTAACCTTGAAAATCCTTAAGTCATTTTATGGCCTAAGATAACGCGACAATTTCTTATTCTTTCTCTCCCCTTTATTATTTTACTTGAACTTTCATTTAATTGACCTTTATTAGTTTTCATATAAAAAATGCCTTGACAAGTATATGTGTGTGACCAGATTGTTCGAAATGTATAGCGCAAATACATCACATTTTTCAGACAAACTCCGTCTTCTCATTGTTCTATCGTAAAAATTCGTATTATTAAGATTGGGACGCTTACTGTATAATTTCGCTAACAGTTCAGGCAGTACTTAATATAAATCAAACTAAAGTAACTTTAAATGTTTCAGGGAACATGGTGAAGGAATGACTTACTTTAAATAGTGGAAATCTCTAAATGTAAGGGGTAATAACTGGTAAGGTCGGGTATATGTCAGTCAGCTACAACGTAGGACCAGGCACATATGTGCATCGGTCCAGGTTGCCATACCGCATCAACACAACAAGATGAACACCAGATTCATAACAGTGGTTAGGTAAAACGTGGTAATATATAAGAGAAAGATTGCATATAGAGATATAGTACAAGCAGAAAGAATTGGTTAGTAGAAAGAAAGATATGAAGCGATTTTAATCTCATAGTTTAAGGAAAGACAGGGAGTGTATACACCGACGCCATTGTGATCGATTCTGAGCCATGTCACCAAGAGTCTCCAACCATTGGTTACGATAGTCACGCGGACCCCAACCAAGTAGTCTGCATCTACCAACATGGCTCAGACTAGAAGTTAGTGTCTTCAAGCACTGATGCCACGTTTTGGTTTGGGCGCCTCTAACTTTCTTCCAACCATTTCCAATACCGGATAGCATTGCACGTCGTGGTAATCGGTGTTCAGGCATACGTAACACGTGGCCCAACCATTTCAGTCGATGAAGATTCATAACCTCATCAACTGATTTGCCATCCTTTCCTAATACCCTGCGTCTAACCTCACTATTACTTACCCGGTTGTCCCAGCAGACGCCAGCAATATTTCTTAGGCATCTGTGGTCAAATACTAATAGCTTACGAGTGTCTTCTACTCTTAATGGCCATGTTTCGCTGCCGTAAATTAAAACAGAACGGACAAAATCACTGAGCCCGACGGGTATATGTAACCCCGTATCAAAGCAATATTCGCATTGTTAGAGTGTCTTTATTGACAGAATAAGCTTACAGCTACGTTTCAATTAGGAATTATCTGCATGAACATCATAATAGCATTAGTTCTTCAACATGAACTGACATTCGTTGGAGGACCTTTAGAAGTTCAGGGGGCACTGTCCTTCCGAAATCCAAAAAATCCTTAGGAATAAGCACACAGAAAGTATTGATGGTGTAAGAAAACTAAAAATATTACTCAAATACTTAAGCGAATCAGTTAATATTGAACCCATATACTACAGTTCTGAGAGTACTAGGTGTCGTATACCAGTGATCTAGAAACATTTATTCAATAGAGCCTGTATAATTGAATCTAGCCTCAGTGCCCCCAAATGCCCTGGTACGGCTGAGTGGAGAGAGTCCACTCTCCCTCTCGAAATGCTCTCACATGGTCACGCGTATATAGCCTCTGCCAAGGATATTCTACTCACTGCCTTCTCGTGTCGGGGGTGTTGTTTACGAAAATGAGAGGACGAAAAGCGAATGTCCGGCGCTTTAACCGGCTCCCAAACCAATGGTGCACATGGGCTCCAGTATCCTGCGGGAATAAATCTTACCTTTGTAACAAGGATTTATACAGTAGATATATTTATTTCCAAAAAATATTAACTATGAGGACGAATTTGCCTTTGGTTTATAAGTTGTATACTTTTATTTAAATAATTACCCTAGGTTTTAGAACACGAAACTAAAGCTTTGCAAGTTAACAATTTACAGTCGCCGAATTTGCATGACAGTAAATGTAGTGTCAGGTTAGTGAAATCAGGAAGTTACAGTTTTTAGAATTTACATAGTCATAGAAGTCTATATCTTTGTCTTTACATAACGGAAGAGAATTGTTAAAATAAAAGCAATGATACTTTTAGAGTGAATTAATTTGTACAAAGTATATAATACGTTCAGGCTGTTCCCGTCACAACTACTTGGTTATTATCGTCATCATTATCATCATCCAGGTCTATATCGCCAATGTCAACAAATAAATGTTCATCAATCTCTACAACTTCGCCACCATTAGTTTCCAAGAAGGTCAAATCGGAATCGTCATAATGATTATCTTTCAAAAATAGCTCACGTCCAGTTAGTCGTTTAACAGCACTTTGATCTTCAGATATTGACTTTTCTTTTAATGATTCCATTTCTGCAAGGAATTTTGTATTCCATTCTAGAAATGACTCCACTGTAACTCTATCACCACGGAATTTCGCTTCTTCTTCTAGTTGTATAGCTTTTCGTTTTTCTTTAGCTTCATTACGCTGACGAATTAAGATTTTTGCACAGATACTATCTAATTTTTCTTGAACTTCTGTTAATATATCAAATAACATTACAAATCCTAGGGATCGTTCAATTACTTCATTGATTATAATATTTATATCGGAAATATCTTCGTCTGAAAGATTTTCAGGTTTAAGTATTTGATATTTAGGTGGTTTATTTGGATAGTTGCTTGTGAGTTCAAAAAGAAGCTGACATCGAACTTTAGTTGACAGTGAATCATCTGACTGACCATTTAGATTTACTTTTATTTTTCGTCTAGGTGTAGTTTGTACAAGTTGATACTTATCTTCATAAATGGATTCCAGTGCAAGTAATTCATTTTCACAATCTTCTGCTGACATCTTTGAAAATAAAAAATTGAGAAATATGAATAATCCTAATGAAATGCCTCTTTGAACCAATGTTTTTGTTCAAGTAAAATAAATAATAATAAAGTATTACACTATTTATGCAGGTTTACTACAAAGGATATAAAAAATCCCCTTTATCCTGTATGTTTCTATCATTGACAATAATGGTTGAAAATGTGAAACCATATCAACAGCCTTCGAACCATTTATATTGTTGATGGACGATCTACCAAGTAAGCCAGTAATATGCGGATGATTTCAATATGATTTGAATAGGATCAACTATTGGACCATTAGAAAATTACTCTCTTTTAACTTTGACAAGTGCCACCGCTGAGCAGTGGCGACACATAAAACTTGTACTGTTTGATGTGATTTCAGCATTAGATGGTAGGAACGGACCAAGCCATTAGTATGTGTTTTTTTTAGTAAATGTTCCGTAGTTAGTAAAGCGTCATTTCTTGGAGTTTCCTTTTGAAAAACAGTAGTCCGGAATTAGTCAAAACCATTTTTAGTGTTATCTTATCTTCAAATATTTTCAAAAAGAAGCAACCCGAAAGGTGCTCACACAGAGAAATTCATAAGTAGGAGCTATTTCCGAAGGCAACTGAGAGAAACAACGGGTTAAGTAAATGGCATAAAGTTTCCATTTGGGAAACTGTTATGAAAGTAGATTTATCAGGAATAACTGCAGCTCAACTTTAAGAATCAACGAGTGCAACAATTTAGTCACGTACTACTACACCAGACCTCGGGAAAGACAGAATGTTTTCAACAAATCGGGAGAGTCAACTAGAATGAATAAGATGACACGAACTCCCCTACGGTTTAATCTGTCGGTCTTACATAATAAGGAACCAAACGACTGAATTTTAATGCCACACACTACTGATGTTAGCCATTTTTCAGACATGGCAATGAAATCATAAGATCAACCAGGCTTATATCAAAGCCGATATAGATTCCGGATCCAATCAGTTTTTATGACTTTTCCAATAGTAGATTTTTGCTCTTCAGTGGAAGCATAATTTGCTTATTAGTGGATCAATATGGTTTACATTGTTTTTCAAACTAGCCTTTTAGTCCTTTTCAGGAAATTTTTCTAGTTTTTCAAAGATGACTGAGGCTGCATTTCTTGAACTTTAACTCTTCCCCGCAGTCCGGTTCAACAAAGGATGTAAGGGCCTCCGCTTTTCTAGTTGCCAAAGCTAATCATTGACTTTATTTTCATTATCAAACAAATCTACATTGTGCAGATCAGGCTGTGGCAAAACCATGGCGTTGATGTAGCATTCTAAGGTTGTATGTGGCGACATAATTTTTGGAGCTCCTTGTACTTTGTCCCTTCTGCACACGCTTATTCCTTTTCTGCGTCAGTGTGCTTATAATCTACTGCATTTTGAGGATGTCATGGTAGTTTTATTCAGATTTGAAGCCGGGTTAACTATGGCACATGACTTCTTTGGAATTTTTCAGGTGCTTTACGTTCCTTACAACTTATCATTGGTCTGCTGAAGCTTCCTAGCTGTGTTCAATAGCTCAATTTCCTGATTATTACCAGAGATCTCGTGAAAATATGCTCTACAAAGCCATTGGTTTGCAACACCTTATATACAACAGAAGTGAGCCAGTGAACACATTGTGAGACCGTTTGCTCTGTGGCAGACTAAAAGTTTTAATATGAAAATAGTGAAAAATTTAATGAATGGAGTGTAAAGACAGTTAATAACCCACAAAATATATAAATCTAAAAAGTCTTGACGTTACCTTTATTTTCAGGTCTAGCGTGTTCTGGTCTTGATCATGTGACGAACAATTGAAACAAGTAATTAATACCAAACACGGTATATATAGTTCAAATCGATGTATATCAGAAAAAAATCCTATACTAACCACAGGAATGTGACCTGTAAAAATAAACAGCAATCATATTACTGACTTGTCAATGTAACAGCTGGTTAGATGAAGACGAGGAATGTATGGGGAGCAGTGTATTTGTGAGTTAATTAGTGTGTCCTAGGAGTTGATACAAATCGGTAACGGAAAAACCAAAGTCAGATTTAAGAAATAATGTGCACATTAAGTGGCATTACGAAAAATATGAGTAATGAACACAAAAGATCGTACTACTGCTTTACGAGAAATAGTATTCGAACTCAAAAACATGTCAAGAAATATAACATGTTAATTGTTTGTTGATGTAGAGTTATAATGTGTATTTAGTTGAGTATTACTAAGAAGAAAAAACGCAAATGATAATGATGGCATATAATGGTAATAATTGTGAGATAATCAGCTCCGTCTATCAATTAAGGGATGAGTATACTGCGCAGCATACCGTTGTTTTACTTTACGGCTGCCAAACGTGGCTATTAAGAGTTGAAGATATTCATAAGCTACTAATATTTGACCACAGATGTCTTAGAAATATTGCTGGCATCTACTGGGACCACCGAGTAAGTAACAGTGAAGTTAGATGCAGGGAATAAGGGAGTGATGCTAAGTCGGTTGACGAAGTTGTGAATTTTCAACGACTAAAATGGTTGGACCACGTGTTGCGTATGGCTCAACACCGATTGCCACAACGCGCGATGCTGGCTACTATAGATGGTTAGGAGGAAGTTACAAGCGATCGAACCAAAACGTAAAATCAGAGCTCCGAGTCACTAAGTTCTAGTCTTAGCCATCATGGGAGATGCAGACTATTTAGTTGCGGTCCCCGTGACTATCGTAACTAATGGATGGAGACTGAATGTCATGTATCATAATCGATCACAATGGCGTACGTGTATACACTCTTTGTCATGCCTTACACCGTGAGATTGAAACCGCTTCACAACTTTCTGCCAACTACATCTTCCTTCCTGTTCTATATCCTTATAAGCAATAATACCACCAAACAACTATGGCTTCGATGTTCGTCTTGTGCTAATGTGGTATGGGCCAATGCATATATGTGCCTGGTCCTAAGTCATAGCTTACTGGCCATAAGTATATTCATATGCAAAGACGTTCTAACAGTGATTGATGAGTAATAATCAAAAATATTCACATCTGTAATAGCGAAAATAAACGTGTTTAGGTGTGGTGAGATGATCAACCAATTAGATGTAAATAATTGTATGATCAATGCGTGCGATCTATTTCATTTATTTAAACACATGAACATTGGTACAAGGAGGCATCAAGTATATATGCGCCATATTTCGTCATTCGAATTGTATGAGGGATGGGATACTGATCGGGTGCCCAAACCGAAGCAGGTGGTTTTCTTCGATGGCCACCCCTGAGCCCTCGACCTAAAGGTTTAACCTGGAAGGTAGTGGAGCAACGTTAAGCGATGCAGTTTGATGTTATCTGGTGACCAACAATAGGTTCATACACCATTTGTTTTCTCATTATCCTATAGTCCATGTGCACTACTGGTTTGAGTCAGGGTTTCCCTACGAGTGACCATGTGAGAGCTGGTTCTTCCCACCCTTGGCCGTACCAGGACACTTGGGCTCATTGTGTGTGAACAAGAAATAAGCTGTCAGTGTTAGCGAACTGAATTGATTGAGCGACTTTCCACTTATCACTGTGTCGTACTTTTTTCTTATTAAATCGCGAAGTGAACGTAGCGAATCATGAACGAATGAGTTTACTTGCTAGAGGTTCACTAAGAGCATGGATTGAGTGGTAGTTGTTAGTGAGCTTCTCTAGCAGATCTACACTCCCTGTAGAGATTGACAAGTTGTCCAGCGCACGAAGAACCAAGTTCGTTATGTATTTCCTTGTCCACCGGCTGATATGTCGAAATAAGTCTACAATGCGTATAGAGACAAAGAAACACACCTCCACGAATTAGATCTTTAGAATGTGCATACAAAATATGACCATAATGCGGCATGTAGTCATTGAAATGCCCACAAGCACATCGTGCACGTGAAGTATCAACAACATACATCATACCCTTGTCTTAGCAGCGGATGTATTCTCCTGCTATAAGTTCGTGTCTCATTTTCCTAACACGTTTATAATTTACAGCTACAATTTTAGCTGCAAAAGCTGTGAACTCAATTAAAATAGTTCGGAATGACATTGGAACCTGAAATTAATGAAACATTTAACTATATTTCTTACCTGAAGAATTGGAAAACGTTGAAGATCCTTTACAGCCTCATATGGACGCAAACGTAGGTTAGTGTCTGTTTTACTCCAAATTTTCCAGAACGTCAATAGCAGAGAGTCACCTCTTCTGTGACATTCTTTTAGGTGTTTATGAGCACTTTCGACACGGTTGTTTGTGTCGTTACCCAGGCTTAATACATGTTGCCGGTAACAGCGAGCCCACATTGACTTCCGGGCAATCGAGTAATCTTTTATATAACCATACGCCCGTGAGAAATGGGTCCTTAGACATTCGTACTTCTGAGTATATCTGAATATAGTGCGTTATGAAAAGCGAAGCTCACATGTCAGACCGTCTAGTCTTCACAAGGTGTTCCAAGCATTTGTGCACATCAGGAATTCGGAACTACAGAAAATAATTTGTACAGCTAACACATACCTTCCTGAAAAATGCTCTTAAGACATGGAATGAACAAAGTATTATGTTAGAATGACTGTACGTAGACTGCACAGCTGAAATTTCGGTCGCTGCCGAATCCATAATGAAAGTGCGTGTATCATAAGTACCGCACATTATCTCTTTAAAGCATTCCAATAGTTTTCCGACATCTTCGCGTCGTTCTTGACTGCAGAGAGCATACATAACAGTGTGCCCTTGCCCAAAACTATCAGTCACCACTAGCTAGAACAGTGAAAAACTTTCAGATAAATTTATTACTAATCGTTACTTACCCAACTTTGTTGGTCTGATAAGTCGAATCAATGCATATTACCTCCGGGAACGCGTGGTAAACAGCTGTTTGCTCTCCGCGGATGAAGCAAATCATAGACATGTTCCCATTTTCATTGAATACTTTAACTTCAGTATTTGCTTGAACGCGCTGTAAAATGTCATTGATATTTTTAGTGTCTAAACTCAATTAATTGCAATATGAGTTCAACAACCTGGGTATAACTGAACGCATTTTAGCGATATCGTCCTTGGTAAGCTGTTTATGGAACTTCCAAAAAACCATATGCCATAAGCTACGAGTTGGTGTATTACTCAGTAGAAACGTTCTTAAATACAAGCGTTCACTTGACGTTAACTGTCGTCTCGATGGATCGACAGAAATATATCCTTCTGTGCAAGGATGGTTGTGCATGATTTTAATAGAGGTGACGTTCAGCTCACCATTTACTGCCCAGACTCGAAACCAAGATTGACAATGGCAAATCGTATGTCATCACCATTCTTCCGAAGAGCATACAACTTCGAACTCGCCAACACAACCTAGACAAAGGAGACGACATCGGTCATCTACGTATGCCTTACTTCAAATGGATTTATCCTTCAGGTCGAAATATTGCTATTGTCAATCTTGGTTTCGAGTCTGGGCAGTAAATGGTGAGCTGAACGTCACCTCTATTAAAATCATGCACAACCATCCTTGCACAGAAGGATATATTTCTGTCGATCCATCGAGACGACAGTTAACGTCAAGTGAACGCTTGTATTTAAGAACGTTTCTACTGAGTAATACACCAACTCGTAGCTTATGGCATATGGTTTTTTGGAAGTTCCATAAACAGCTTACCAAGGACGATATCGCTAAAATGCGTTCAGTTATACCCAGGTTGTTGAACTCATATTGCAATTAATTGAGTTTAGACACTAAAAATATCAATGACATTTTACAGCGCGTTCAAGCAAATACTGAAGTTAAAGTATTCAATGAAAATGGGAACATGTCTATGATTTGCTTCATCCGCGGAGAGCAAACAGCTGTTTACCACGCGTTCCCGGAGGTAATATGCATTGATTCGACTTATCAGACCAACAAAGTTGGGTAAGTAACGATTAGTAATAAATTTATCTGAAAGTTTTTCACTGTTCTAGCTAGTGGTGACTGATAGTCTTGGGCAAGGGCACACTGTTATGTATGCTCTCTGCAGTCAAGAACGACGCGAAGATGTCGGAAAACTATTGGAATGCTTTAAAGAGATAATGTGCGGTACTTATGATACACGCACTTTCATTATGGATTCGGCAGCGACCGAAATTTCAGCTGTGCAGTCTACGTACAGTCATTCTAACATAATACTTTGTTCATTCCATGTCTTAAGAGCATTTTTCAGGAAGGTATGTGTTAGCTGTACAAATTATTTTCTGTAGTTCCGAATTCCTGATGTGCACAAATGCTTGGAACACCTTGTGAAGACTAGACGGTCTGACATGTGAGCTTCGCTTTTCATAACGCACTATATTCAGATATACTCAGAAGTACGAATGTCTAAGGACCCATTTCTCACGGGCGTATGGTTATATAAAAGATTACTCGATTGCCCGGAAGTCAATGTGGGCTCGCTGTTACCGGCAACATGTATTAAGCCTGGGTAACGACACAAACAACCGTGTCGAAAGTGCTCATAAACACCTAAAAGAATGTCACAGAAGAGGTGACTCTCTGCTATTGACGTTCTGGAAAATTTGGAGTAAAACAGACACTAACCTACGTTTGCGTCCATATGAGGCTGTAAAGGATCTTCAACGTTTTCCAATTCTTCAGGTAAGAAATATAGTTAAATGTTTCATTAATTTCAGGTTCCAATGTCATTCCGAACTATTTTAATTGAGTTCACAGCTTTTGCAGCTAAAATTGTAGCTGTAAATTATAAACGTGTTAGGAAAATGAGACACGAACTTATAGCAGGAGAATACATCCGCTGCTAAGACAAGGGTATGATGTATGTTGTTGATACTTCACGTGCACGATGTGCTTGTGGGCATTTCAATGACTACATGCCGCATTATGGTCATATTTTGTATGCACATTCTAAAGATCTAATTCGTGGAGGTGTGTTTCTTTGTCTCTATACGCATTGTAGACTTATTTCGACATATCAGCCGGTGGACAAGGAAATACATAACGAACTTGGTTCTTCGTGCGCTGGACAACTTGTCAATCTCTACAGGGAGTGTAGATCTGCTAGAGAAGCTCACTAACAACTACCACTCAATCCATGCTCTTAGTGAACCTCTAGCAAGTAAACTCATTCGTTCATGATTCGCTACGTTCACTTCGCGATTTAATAAGAAAAAAGTACGACACAGTGATAAGTGGAAAGTCGCTCAATCAATTCAGTTCGCTAACACTGACAGCTTATTTCTTGTTCACACACAATGAGCCCAAGTGTCCTGGTACGGCCAAGGGTGGGAAGAACCAGCTCTCACATGGTCACTCGTAGGGAAACCCTGACTCAAACCAGTAGTGCACATGGACTATAGGATAATGAGAAAACAAATGGTGTATGAACCTATTGTTGGTCACCAGATAACATCAAACTGCATCGCTTAACGTTGCTCCACTACCTTCCAGGTTAAACCTTTAGGTCGAGGGCTCAGGGGTGGCCATCGAAGAAAACCACCTGCTTCGGTTTGGGCACCCGATCAGTATCCCATCCCTCATACAATTCGAATGACGAAATATGGCGCATATATACTTGATGCCTCCTTGTACCAATGTTCATGTGTTTAAATAAATGAAATAGATCGCACGCATTGATCATACAATTATTTACATCTAATTGGTTGATCATCTCACCACACCTAAACACGTATATTTTCGCTATTACAGATGTGAATATTTTTGATTATTACTCATCAATCACTGTTAGAACGTCTTTGCATATGAGTATATATATATGAATATACGGTGATTATGTGATATTTATGACTATTATAAGGCATCATTATCATCTGCGTTATAGGAATACTGATTTAAATAGACATCATAACTCTGTACTTAGTTATTTTTTTTAACTCATAATTATCGGTACAATAGGATATCAAATAAAAATGCGCCACACATAATTATATCGACATACAATTTTCATGTCATATTTTTGGACATATTCATGTATTGGAACAATATTTTACAAAACGCAGCACTACGTCTCTTTTAGTTAGTAGTTTTGTGCATTTAACAATCATTACGTTATATTTCATCATTAATCGTGATGAAACGTTTGGATTTCTCAATTGTTTATTCAACCCAATTAACTAAACACGTAGACAAAGACAGAAAGGTAGTGCGAAAACCGAAGGCCTATAAACTAGACACCGGAATGGTGTTTTTTGAACTGTTATTGTGACAAATGCTGAACAACGAATTTTTCTCGTAATTCAGTACGTAAAAACTGCTTCACAGGTGAACCGTTTAACTCACGAGCTACAAAACCACAAGGGGGTTATTAATATATTCGTGAAAGACGTATGATAAGAAGTTGATACAAACAAGTATTAACATTAGGCTATCAGTTTTCAGGAACGTCCAGAAACTAACAGTTTATAATACTCTTACCGAAAATACAATTGTTATATGTAAAAAAACATTTTTGCATACGCATTGTTCTTTTCCTAGCGGTTTTCTTTACGAGAAACACGGACAGGTAGGAAAAAGAGACATCGATTCGAGAATCCTTTGAGGACAATTTTAAGAGATGAAATCAACTCGAGTAATCTCACGAATTCGACCGTTCAATCGGTCCAGGACAAGTTTCCATCAACAACTAACTACTACCCGACAGGACACTTAGTCGCTACACTGAG